CACAGGGCAAGGACTGCAGTGAAAACGCTTTAGCGACTGTGTAGCGATTGTATGGAAAGCGAGCTTTACTTTCTCCAAGTTTTTATCTAACTATGAGGCATTTATACCAGTAGTCTATAGTTGGGCGGTTAAGATGCCTTGTCTTTCAAACGAAGTATTGGGTTCAAATCCTGTGACAGCAAAGGTTGTTTTTTTCTTCCCCTAACTGAAAAACATCTCCACTTTCTAGAACTCGTGATAAAGAATTATTTTCATTTATTTAGGAGGCCCTTGACCTAGAATAAGCTCGATGGGTCACACTCTATAAATACATCTATGTATGTAAAAAAAAAACAATTTATCAACGTTAATGTAAAACATGATGTTCAAAATGGAACATAGTTCCTAAATGTGGTCTGTAATGATGCTTCCTATTAATCATTGTAAAGCACTGGGACATCCGCCAAAAACAGATTAATGTTGTCGAATCGTCCATATTTAAGGCAAGCATTAATACAAGTCTAACGTTGAAGGTAAAAATATCATGTCCTTCCATTTTCACAGTGCTATCAAAATAACAGCTTGATAAACTAGTTGCCGGGATATGTCAACTAAACATTTAATCCAAATTAAATATTACACAATTTTGCACACTACAAATAATTAAATTGTAACCTAGGAGTGTTTGCCCTACCTGACGTATAATCGTACTGAATATTCAGTACGTTTCCAAATACTTGCGAAAAAATCGCAAGTGATCTAGGCGGAATCGAACCCACGACTTCCAGGTGACTAGTCTGGTGCCATAACCACTAGACCACCAAGCTTGCGCTTGTGATTTGGAAACGTACAGTACTGAGTATTCCATACGATTACACATCAAGTAGGGCAAAACATCACTCCTATGATAGTTTCCTGAAGCAAACATACATCGATATAAATTCTAACCATTGCTCAGGATATTAGCATACAAGAATCATACCTGTAGGCCTAATATATGCAGCAACTACTGAGTTAAATAATAATGCAGACGTAGCCCAAAGACGTATGAATCTACGTTTATGTCTAGTACATATATACACACATACCCACTGACACCAACCCCCCCCCTCCCCACAACACACACATGAGTGTAGGTGTCCCTCAGAACTGGTGAGTCAACTATCAACTTTAATTCTCACTTTTTAAAAAGTGGTACACATCATTTGTTTGTGCATCCAGTAATACAAGAAAAAATATAAGAGTATAATATAAAATAGCGACTTAAGAGCTACCATACTTAAAACAAAATTAAAGAAAACAGTTTGTATGAGTTTGAATCAGACACTGATGACAGAACTAGGATTGTGTCCTTGTAAAAATTAGTTTAGGTTTTTTCTCTCTCTCTTTCTTAGGCCTATAATGACCGATTATTCATTAGTTATTTTTCCAAGAAGAAACTCCCCCAATGTATTAATATGGGTTTCAGAAATGCCTAGGCGTGGTGATTCGATATAGAGTAATGATAGGCTAGGTGATTTCATTGTTTGTCTTTTAAACGTGCCCGGTATACTATTTTCATTATTATTATCGGCCTATGATTTATGCATATTATTTTTATTCATTTAATAAGCATTGTGGCTTTTCTTGGCCTACTCAGGCTTATAGTTTTATATTATTTAAAATAGACCTAAGTCATATAATTCAAACATGGATGGTTCATGTCAGTTTTTGTCAGCTTCACTTCATGTTTGTTTCTCTCGTACAAGAGTACACAATGGAAGGATTAACATTCAATATATCGAAATTAATTTCACCTTTTACAGTCAGATTGTGTATTCATTAATAATAAGATGACATTGAGAATTAATCAGTCTAACCCTCTCGCGTTGCGACGTCATAATTGATTTCGGGCCGGTGTATGAAAACATGCAGAGCACTTCATAGGCGACTGGTTTAATATTAATGCACAACGTAATCCTCATGCTCATAGCAGATATTTCTGGCCGTTTGAATATGCTTCACGTCGTCATGGTGTTGTTTTTGTATTAATATTAATTTGTACCAGTTTGCAGTTAATCAGATACGTAAACACCGAGGCATACATTGCCACTCACGATTTCACAACGTGCTTGGTTCTTGCACAAAATGTCAGTTGTGATGTTCCTAATTATTCCATAACATGTTTGTCAGTGGTGCTTGCGAACGAAACCGTTGTCATCATACAGCTTGTTTGATTTATGTCATCTAATTTAAGAACATAATGTGCCACTCTTAACCATTCATTTTCATTCCATTTTTTGTATTTAATGCGGTTCTAAATTTGGAAATAGGCCTATTCTCTGAATCCAATGAGGCGAATTATATAATGGACCGTTCCGGCGTGTCAATCAAACTTAACAACAGACCAATCACAGTGCCAGGAACATATCGCGTATCAATCAAACACGCAAACACGCACGTGTTGTCCCACAAACGTAAACGCGCGTATGTGTCGTTGTTTTGTGTGACCTAAGCAACAATATCGAAGAGACAGGGCTTAGCGAAAAGGGCCACGATCTTATGCTGGTCCCAATCAACATTCCTATCATCTTTACGAGAGTTGTTGACCTTACCGCCTGTGTTTAGCCATACTATGAACGTATTATACCTCTTCAGTCACACTCCTATCCTAACATTCAAAGGCAATAAGTCTATAATATGTCAGTGAATAATTAATTACCTTATGAGGTAAATGTTTTCTTCTTATACCGTCTATATATAGGCTGATTCAAGAGGAAAGCAGGTCCCCCTCACCCACTATATTTTCCAAAATTGAAAAACAATGGGTTAAAAATAAAATAACATTCACATTTTTAGTCTGAGGGAGTGCCATTTCCGGTCATCCAGAGAAGTTTCATAGTCATAAAATTTCGTGCCTCAATCCTGGTAGGGCTGAGGTGCTATATGAAATCTCCATCTGTAAAATTGCCTGGACCTCTTATATTTCGAATTCCTGGATCCATCATTGGTATATTATACTTCTCGCTAATACAAATATAATGATGATGATGATGCTGGTGGTGGCGGCGATGGTGATGATGATGATGATGATGATGATGATGATGATGATTTTGATCTTGATCTTGTTGTTGATGATGCTAGTGGTGATGATATTGGTTATGTTGAGGATGATGATGAGGATGAGAATGATCATATTTTATTCATTATTTAAGAACATGGGCCAACGACTGCCAACAGCGAACTCAATGAGTAAGTAATCACTTTCACAAAGCTATCATACACGACAGATACTCTACATAAATTAAGCCTCGGAGTAGGTTTGTCTCTGATCGTAAGAAGAATCCTGTCACTGACAAGAATGGACATTTCCGGAGTACTGTATCTGTTTTTACATTGACCTTTCCGATCCGCTAATCCCCGCCCCTTGATATTGTTGCTAAAGCTTTCCACTAAGCCCCGCCCCTAGTTACCAACCGTCTCGCCAACCACGCAATTAGGAGTATCTACATGTAGGAGGCACGTGCGGTCTTGCACGTTCATTGTCACAATCAACCGTTCATTATGTGACTGAAACACGGACCCCACGGATGCCTGGTGGCCCACGACTCCCTAGCTTAACTGGTGTATAAGTCACGCATGTCAATCAAATTTCTCAGGTTGGTAACTATGCGACACGACTGCTCTCTACTATAATATTATAGTAGAGATCAGTAAACGACACTGTTAAAACATACGCGAACACGTGAGTGTGGGGAAACACGTGTGCTTGTTGGACATTTTTTTTTTATTCAACTTTATTTATTGAGGGTGACCCTAACAGCAATGCCGACTTAAAAAGGCCCTCAACAAAAAAACAACAATATCAATTTGAAAAATTTAGTAATAATATTCAGCATGAAGAGGAATGTTAAATAACAATTCAATTTACAATATAAAACACAGGACGTACAAAAAATGGAATATTTCGTATTTACAATTATTTAACATTTGAAGTCAACAATCTTAGATTCTTAGATTCTTATTTTCCTAAATGTTACAATAAAAAATAATAAAACTAATAATAATAAAAATGATAATAATAATAATAATAATAATAATAATAATAATAATAATAACAATAATAAAAATCCATAAGCATCTTAAAACAAGCTACAGCACCTCTCATGTTAGTGACAGTGATGATGATACTGATGATGGTCATAATATGATGATATTGGTGATGATGATCATGTTCATATTCATGAAGACGATGAAGGTGGTAGTGGTGGTATTGATAGTGATTATAATTAAAAAAAAATGTTTAATGAAAGTCAAATTGACCAGATGAAATGATGATGATTATGATTATGAGGATAATGTTGATGATTATGATGATGTTGATGGGAATGAACGTGGCGATTTTGATTATAATATTGTGAATGATGACGACGGCTTTTTCAGCTGAATTATATTGAATTGAATAATATATAATAATAATATTTATTTACCGGGTAGCTCTGGCAAGAAGCCACCCTCAGGGGAGAAGCAAGTTACAGTACGTACGTGCTAATCCACACCTCGAGCGCTTTAATACTTCGGTATAGCGCTATATAAATCTAACTATATTACATTACATTTGAAACGTGTTTGTGTATGTATGTAAAATTATATGAGTTTTTTTTTTTTCATAACTGCATTATTCAAAATATAGGCCTAAGCCTATTGGACATATTGGACATAATTATACAGGGGTTGCCTTCGTAATAGTTAATTATGCGTAATTTGTGTAGATTTCCCAACGTCATCAGTATACTTTAAAGAGACTCTATGTACATTAGGTCTTCACTTGAATGTCACACGTATTGTGTCATTAATAAGCACAGTGTTCACTCTATATTAAAGTCAATGCAGGCGTATATACTTCATTCTGCTTATTTCGCAAACGAAACGATAGGGAGCATAACGCTTATAGTTAGTCACTGATATTATTTGTCGATAACACCTGCCTACATTCCTGGCCTGTCTAATAAGAGTATTATATAGTTTATTTTCTCTTGTAGCAATAACAGCGATCAACAATATGTCCTCTGCGATGGATAACCTAATATTTAACGTTTCGACGTCTGCAAGTTACGAACTGGATTCCAACGACTCGTACGACGATTTTAATACAGGTAAAAATAGAATAAAATGATTTATATAGAATTTTTATAGGCGGTGGATCCCTGATTCCTAAAGTTGAGGCACCATACCGTGGAATGTGGATTGGTTTGTTCTTACAGAGAATAAATTCCAATACTCATGCAATATGGAGTATGGGCTCACCCAAATCCTCTCGTAAACATGTGGGGCTGTCACATTAAGATATGTCATCATCATTGTCGTCATCATCATTATCACCATCTCGTAAATCATGGCCTCTTGAAATCTTCTATAGACTCACTCATGTGCAAGATGTGTATAAGCTGTGTAATCTGTACATTGCACTACTGCACATTACTAGGATCAATCAAAATTAATGTTATTTTCAGTATACCCTAATAATACTAAGTGTCTGAAATACATTAAATTATGACAGATACTCGGCTTAAGCCGTACAAATTATTCAATATGCTAACGTGAGTGATATATGAATAACTAGAGCAATGCGTCGCTCTATAGAGTGCATACCTCCGCCCTGTGCCTGGATACCGAACAATACGCAGGTCGTGTATGGACGATTCCATTATTTTCTGTTATGCTCAAGTGTAAGTTCAGGGCAAAAAAATCGAATTTCAGTTACTTTGACCTTGTCTTTTTACCTTTTCTTGCCTAAATCATTTCTTTGATTATTATGTACCATTCAGTGATGATCCATTCCCTGCTTTTGGTGTAATCTTGCTAACAGACAGTACAGACAGGGATGCATAACCTCTTCGCCGGAGGTAATAAATTACTTTGTTATTATCTCAAAAGCACTGTTTTCTTAATCACTACTATTTTTCTCAAACAACTCCTCCATATACAGTAACATCATGGAGAAAGAAAATTCTGAAATTATTTTCTTTCTCTATGGTAAAATACTACCAACATCAGCCGAACGTTACTTGTGTCACAAAGAGTATGGTATTAATGACTGGCTGTCTTTCTTATAAGGCATCATAAAAGTAACCGTAACGGCCTTTCCCGATCTGTACCACAAAGGGGACTTGCTTGTACCATGGGGCTATATAGATCAATACTTGTAACAAAGCCCAAATTTATTTAGCTGCGGCTTTTCTTCTAATCTGTTTTGCCTTTTTGTAAGACCCATAGGGATTATTATATATATATATATATATATATATATATATACATATACACACACATCAGACTTCGACCTATATGCGTATCCTCTAGTGTACTTTTAGGGAGGCAATTAAAACAATCATTAATTTTTTTTTAATATATATTAGATATCATGATTACCATCATTATCAGCATTTCCTCGAAATGTAATATCTTCCATCTTTCATTCAATCAACAATAATAAAAGCATTATTCGTCATTAAATTTCAATATTATCTAAAAGAGTTATTAGCAACATAGTCTTAATGAAATCTCCCATCAACCGTTTGTAATTTGCAACAAAAACACAACAGGTAAGTGGAATGGTAGGCCTATCATTAGAGTGAAAGTCATTAGAAGCCATTCATAAGATGGGGAAATAATAAATTATTATGACTGGGACGGGAACGTAACTATATAGGCCTAATAATAATAATAATAATAATAATAATAATAATAATAATAATAATAATAATAATAATAATAATAATAATAATAATAATAATAATAAATAAGAATAATAATAATAATAATAATAATAATAATAATAATAATAATAATAATAATAATAATAATAATATTGTTAATTATGTTAATAATGATGAGTAGAACCATGGAGGAATAATAAAGCAATTTTATGATGAGGTTGAGGAGGATGCTGAGGATAATGTCGATGTTATTATTTTCAACAGCAATGGAATCTTAAATACAGTAGTATCCTTTACTGGTAATTAAAAAATGCTTATAAAGTTATTTATAAGGTATTACACATAACTTACCTTACACTATAACAAGTTCATAGCCTACGTCATAACAAACCTGTTGTCACCTGGACTTGAAATTATTAAATCGATTTCAAAATTCGGTAAGCAAAATTCCAACATCTGTTAATATCCAATGAAAACACTGACATTGTTAGTCAGCAGAGCTATAGGATTAGTGTGAGGAAGTGATCCGTACAAACATCTCGGCCTTAAGTGTACATTAAGGTCATATAATGTGACAGACACGCTGCTCATTGGCCTGCCAAAGATCAATAGCAATTGATCACTATAAGGGGGTTGGGTGGCCATCGATTTTCCCCCTATTTTTTAGAGCAAAAACATCATTTCCTGCTAATTTCTTCTCTCCTACTGAGAAAAGTACAAAATTTCAATTTATTTCCCTTGCAAATAAACTAACAACAAGTGGCATAATCAAGAAAACAAAGTTTGTAAACGTGGCACGCATTCATATCAAAATAATAACAAATAACAAAAATTCAAAAATTATGGATAGGCCTGAGAATATAATTAAATTAATGAGCAGTAGTACCTGGAAAATATTACGTTTAAGGTTTGCTTTAAATGTGTTTAATTTTGTGCAGTTCTTAAGATACAGTGATACAGAGTTCAACAATGTTGGGCCAGCGACGAAGATGGCGTGTGAACGATAGGTTGTGCATGGAAGTGGTTGGTGGAAGTTAAAAGACTGTCTAGTTGAACAGTTGTGGATTTGAAAGTTCTTGTGAAATGTGTTAACAATTGAAGGCGAAACCTTCATTAAAAGGAAAACAAATTGGCATAGGGCTAAAGAACATAATCAATTGCGGTGTGGGTCGCCTCATAAAGTTTTAAATCACTTTTTCAAGAGAATACATAACATATCCTTTAAGGTATCTTTTTTTTACTTCTAATGAATATGATAAAAAGAACTACAGCCATTGTTAACCATCAGAGCTATAATGATTAATGTTAGGAAATGATCCGTACGAACAACTCGGTCTGAAGTTCAATAAGGTCGTAATAATGTGATACCAAACTGACGCAAGCTTACATCAAGTAATCAATAGCATGGGGTCATCAATCTTTTTCAGTCATTTTCACGAGTATAAACCATATCCGTTTATGGTAAAACCCTTCTCTCTACTAAAAAAGTACACAATAAAATTATAGTTCTTGTCTGCGGCAGACAATTTTTTATTATTACAATCATAATAATGGACTTTCAATCTGACACAGGCAAAGGACAAAATGATAATGATTTTTGCTATCCGTTTCCCGCCAAATTAAAATGTACACAATAAAATAATGATTATTTTTGTTGTCGAGGTCAGTCATAATTTCAACTTTTTACGTAACATCGTAAAACGTAAACTTCTCCCCTACGCATTACCGTAAGTACAGGTATATCTGAGAGCCGCGGTCAATTTGTGAGTCGGTGTTTCAAAAGCTTTGAAAGTCGAGGCTTCGAGTCTCTCGTGAATGTCGCATTGTTAACAAGGAACTTTATATTCATATTGTCTCTGGCTCTCTAGCAAGGAGAATGATTTAGTATTTGGTAGCATCCACCGCCAAGCATTGATTCTAAATGCTTATGGAAAACTGCTTTCCAAAGTGCTGTCCAATAACTGGGGTTATTAGTGTAAAGCGCATGACGGGAAAAATTGCTTTATAAATACAGAACAGTCGCCTTTTTCCACAATTTTGGTGTAATTTAAATGGTAATCGAATTTCGTTTAATGCTTGAAAGATTTTTTTTTATTCGTGAATTTGTATATTTGATGATAATAATAATAATGATACAATAATTAATAATACGGTAATAATAATGATACAATAATTAATAATAAAAATATTGATTTAATTACGTATAATAGGCCTATAATGGGTTTTTTTTTATCTTTTGTGAATTTCTAATGTTTTTAATTTCAATCAATTTTAATGTTACTTTTATTTCCATTTTCATGTCTTGTGCTTTTGCTTAATTGATGTTTTGATGTTTTAATATACATTTTTTTTGTAAATATAATGTAATTTAGCATTGGTTGTGATTTTGATGTAACTAAAATAAACTGAAACTAAAGCAGTGTATTAGGAATGATGTTTATGCCCCGCCTGACGTGCTCACACTTTCCCCAATACTTGCGAACTTTACTTTTCGCAGATACTTGAGAACGTATTGTTGAACATTCAGTACAATAAAATATCGAACAGGGCAAAGGCATCATTCTTAATAAATCTCCTGCTGCAAAACTTTATCGAAAGCAAAAATAATTCAAAAACAACTTACACTAAATACTGTAACTAACATACGGGTAAAACAACAAAATATTTAAATAAAATTAAGTAAGTGTTTTACCTTTTTTGCATTTTTTTTTTTTTTTTTAGTATTACGATTACGATTAACATCTTTCAAGCAGTGTTATTTAGCGTAGATTGCTCTTGATGATAAATCTTATGAGGTTGTTATGACAATAACGTATATCTTTGACTGTATATGTTGTGCCAGGACATAATACCGTGGTTGTTCGGTATACATAAGTTATCCTATAATGTTATACAAATCTGACACAGCACTCCCTATTACCACATTGCCTGTCGTCTCGCATTGAAAAACGTTTCAATCACAAGCGGTAGCAAATCATCAAGAAATAACTATTCTTCTCCTCATTCACTTTTCTAGTGGCTGTGGGCTCGCACAGTAATCCGTTTGTGTCTCTGGGCAATTGACATTATGCTACGTTTGTCTGCCCACGCCCCTGAGTTTTGTAAATGGGCAACGGAATAGAAATATTTTAATTTAGAATAAAATTGGTTTGTGCTATATTCCACGAATAAGAATATTCTCCATAGAGCGGTTGGTTACACAGGGCATGTGATAGAGTAATAATAATTAATTGTGTTATTATTTTACTATTACTGTATTATATTATTGACTTGTTAATAATATTATTATTGGATTGTATTGGATTGAATTAGATTCAAACACCAATGATAGCCCATGAAGACAACTTATTTTCAGTAACGTCCCTCTGGTGGTGATTGGGCAGTACGGGAGACAATCCCCTATTCTTTTCCGAAGAGTGTAGGCCTACTGCGTTCTTTAACGTGCACATGGGCCATAAATGCACACGGGACCATTGCGCTATTGAAATAAGTACTTCAGCCCTCCAGCTTAAACACAAGGAGAGGCAGCGATGGGAATTGAACCGGGGACGTACCTAGATATCTCCACGGTTCAGCGCACACACAGTGGCCACCAGATTAGCCGACTGAGCTAAGCTGATTATTACTGTCCTTGTTATTATTGTTATATAATGTATTGTAATAATGATGATGATGATGACGGTGATGATGATGATGACAATGGCGATGATAATAATATGGCTATTATCATTATTAACATTTGCTGTTTTTGTTGTTGGTTATCAATAACCCATTTTGTCTTGTAGTAACAGCTCCTCAAGAAGATGGGTTAGAGTTCCTTATTTGGATGATTTGCATGAGTGCCAGCTTTATACTATGCGTACTTTTTGTATATTCCGCCTTCGAGAAGAGAAAACAAAAAAGGTAGGTCAGCAAACATATATATATTATAAGAATAAGTTGTATCATATTAATCTCTGTTATTTAACATGCATCAAGAATTAGTGCTGTACAACTACGCATGCGCTAGAGTGTGAATAATTTGTTGCTTTAATCGGATTTGAATTTCCGTAAAAGACTCAGATGGTCAAGGCGTCTGCAGAAGGTTCCGGGCTCGAATCCCGGTTGATGCAACTTTTTTCTGCACCAGCAGATTCCTCTCTTTCAAAATGTATATATATAGCATTACCGCAATATGATTCAGAGATTATCTGATATTATATCATGATTTATTATCAACAAAAAACCAATATACTTGTTTTTGTTGATATGAATTAACCTTAGTTATATTGTCCTTGCTCAAGTTAAGCTTTTTCTTAATCACACATTCAATTCATGTCATCGTTGCATTTTGCCTCCAGGTTCCTTATTATCTGTTGTTCAATTATTTTTGAATTTCGAATCAAACTCCGTACACTCTTATCTTGATTGTAGCTACAATTAATTGTATTTCCGTACGAAATGGACGGAGCTTTCAATCTGATGCTAAAGATGATAACATTTAATTATTTAGATGAGTTTGTTGTATGTAGATATAATATTTACGCCTGCCATATTTGTTTTCAAGGTCTTCTTTGATGTCACTTGTAACACGTACAAACTGTCAGCTCATTCAATTATAATAATAATTATTATTATTACTATTATTATTATTATTATTATTATTATTATCAACATCATCATCGCCATCGTCATTGTTATCTTCATCATCATCATCATCATCATCATCATCATCATCATCTTCATTATCATCATCATCTTCATTATCGTTATTATCTTTATTATTATTAGTAGTATTATTAGGCCTATTGTTATTATTGTTATCATCGTCGACGTGAACATCATGATCATGATCATGATTACTGTCGTCATATCATTATCATCACTATCATCACCATTATTAAACTACCCATTTAGAAGGCCTATAATTAAAAAAAATACATGAATCTTGTAATAAATATGACTCGCGAAAATAATTTTTACTGTACGGTACGTAATTTGATGGATGAAAATATTCTATGTTTGTGATCTGTAAGAAAGTAATAACTCGAACATGAGATTGCTTACTAGTGAGATAACAATAATGGTTTGGATTTCCTCCTATTATGAAAAATCTCCTCCTTATGAAAAATCTATTAAAAAATGTCGTTTACTATTTATATTAGATCCTACTGATATTTGTTGTTGAGAAATATTCATTGCGTCTCATATCGTATACTTATGGTAAGATTGTCGACTTTCAGCTTTAAAATGAAAAGTTGAATGACGAGGTCTTGTTTTAAAGTAAAAATTGTTCCGTTAGGAATGTTAGACAATTAATAGAATAGCCATTTGAGCGATTTGAAGCGTGGACGTCATGTTCGAGTGACGATATCCTTTATAGTGATAATGATGTTTATTTTCTAACATAAAGAGGAAAAAACATTGATTAATGAACTATCAAAAACAATTAATATCTTTTTTAAACATGTAAATGGTATTTTGTGAATTCACTTGTGTTTTTCTTTACAGGAAACAAGGGAAAGACAAACACAGTACGTTACAATCTAAATACTATGCACATGAAGTAGCCGGTGTTAGGAAAACACTGATGGTAAGTAGTGCTACTTGTGTTTTCTAATGATATTAGTCAAATAAGCGCCTTGCGTGCACAGGTAGAGGGCAATCATATATAATATATGAATAAAAATGCGATCAATGTGAAACGTAACGTATGTTCATTGACTTTATTTAGTTGAAATATATATAAATTATGGGCCTCTATAATCATATATATAAACCATATATATAATTATATATTATGTATATATACAATCATATATATAAATCATATATATAATTATATATATGTATATATAGGCCTAATCATATATATATATAAATCATATATATAATTATATATATGTATATATATAATATATATATATATAAAACATATATATATATATATATATATATGTATGTGTGTGTGTGTGTGTGAACTTAGGAAATACTTTGATTGTCTTACAATTAGGCCTATGTAAAAAAAGTAAATCCTCAATTTGGATTTATTTACTCTGGTAGAGGTTTTCTCCAACATCTTTGACAAAGAAATGGGCAAATTACTGGAATTAAAATCCTTGTTTTTGAACCAGGACGTAAATTAATGGGAACACACCATGCATCTAAGAAATATGCTTAACAGACGATTCAAGTTCCGACTATTCAGATACAACCGGCCCCGTCCAGAAGACCATTCCAGACTATTGACAACTCTGGCCGGATGCATAAAGCATAGAGATTGATGACGAATGCTTCGAACATGCCGTAACTAGTTATTTGGACAATAGGGACTGTCCAGCTTTATGTTCCTTCAATTTTGTTTTTCTTTAAGAAAAAAAAAACCTGACCTTTCCATATTATTAGATTTAAATGTAAAATTTATTTTTAAAAGGTCCTCATTATTTAGTTTTTGTGTAGGAAACAGGTTCATTTTTTAAAAAGTGGGTAAAATTAATTTTACGCATATGGGTTCAAATTTTAAAGATTCGTGTATTTAGTTATTGTGCTTAAATGAGTCAAGCTTTTGAAATGGGTCCATTTACACATCAAATTGGTCCGATTTGATTTTAAATCACAGTATAACCAGGGAACAAAGAAATCTTCTTTTTTTCATAAAAAAAAAGTCATTAGTAAATTAAAAGAACATTACCGGCATTAACAAAGCTCATTGTTTTATCGTTTTTGAATACATTCATTAATTTTAATTCTTTTTTTTTACTTTTTTGTTTGTAAAGCACTTCTAAAAATTACTTCTTGAAATGACGAATTATTACTCACATAAATCAGTTTTCTGTTACAGGAGTGTTACAACATGCCCCTCATAAAAGCTAGGCTAAACGACGAAGCGAAATGTGAGACTGTGCCCGACAGATATCGTTTTAATAGTGATGACGATTATATTGATTCGCTTTCTGGATCCAGGGAATCGTTCCTCCACCCCAAGTGGGAATCAAGAGCGCCGTCTAATATATATATATATATATATATATTTATATATATAAGCTTATATCATATATAATTTGTATATATAAGCTATATCATAAGCTTTGAGTTGATTAAAGAAGAGTGAAAAACCCTAATCAAGTATGAAATTCGGAACCTTCTGTTGTATGCAGACGCCTTCACCAACTGGGCCACTGGCATCGTTGAGAATTCAATCCGAATTCAAGAACTAGTTCTTGATGCACGGCAAACTATATATATTCTTTTTTCTTCATAACGTAATTACATTTTTATATAAATCAATGATTAATTTATTGATTATAGCTTGATTAATATTATTATATTTACTTATATTAATGCTTGCCATTGTATTGAAGTTTCGTTACTACCAGGGAACAGTGAAATTTCACGGTTCCCTGTTACTACCAAGCATTTACATTATTGTTATTCTATTCATAATATTTTACTAAGATTACCATAACCAATATATTTTATGTATTTTCATAGGAAATATCAGATCACGAGTCATTTGGAAAATGGACACCGGCCTATACCCAGCAATTACAGTCAAAGCGTAAAGTTTCAACGTCCCGCAAAACACCATCCAGTGACGCGAACGCAAAAACGTCCGCCCTAGGAAAGCGGTTTAACAGTGTTGGTAGGCGTATTTGTACTAGTTCAGCTTTTCTAAACTTGTACCGTCAAAAACGAGCTGCTACTGACGCCTCAAGTGGTGATTCCACGATAGCTGCTATCGCATCTCCCGGCAATACACCGGCGACCACACCTTCCCCCACTGAACCTAACAACTCAATAGACACTGTAATTAATTTCAATGGTCAGAGTGAAGAAGCAGGGGTTATAGGGAATGACGTAATTCTCAATGTATGACGAAGATTTCTTACTGATAACCAAATGTCATGCTCATTTATTAGTATATTTGACATCCATCTGTGCCGCGTTTGACGGCTGCATTGCGATTTACCTAACATGCGTTGCCAGATGATCACCATAATAATAAAGATTTATGGACAGATTACCGCAGAAATATCGTATTTTACTCTCTGTACTGATTTAATGAAGAGCGTGGATTCACGTTTCACTTGCATACAATGTCACCCGTCTCTGCAAGTGGAATACTTTTAAAGAGCGAATTTGAAATGACTCGTCATTTAAGTACGCGGCCACCTATTAACACAATTATTGTTAACCAATGTTTGTCCGTTTATGCAAGGGACTACAATATCTTGTGTTTTAATTAGATTTTGGATCTTCGTGGCTTGTTGTTTTACTGTTGAACTAGCTCACTCAACTGAATATGTTAAACAAAGTTATGAGGTGACTTCGAAACAGTCAATTTTCAACTTTTAATGGTTTCCTTTGATGAAATCGAATAACAGTGTTATTGTTACGGTTACACTAAACAGAGTTTTAATTCCAGATTGTTGTTGAAAGAAAAAAACAATTTGTATAAAACTTGGCAATAACATTGCTGGTTGCACTAACAGTCGATATTGTTGTAAATAATATACTAACGAAATATATTTTGTTACCTTAGACAATTAGTAATATGGATATATAAAATTATGCAAATATTATACCAGGACAGCAAAACTTGTATAGAATGTTCCGCCGTGAGATGATTATACCACCAGCTAAAGGTAGAATAGGCGTTTGTAACTCTGATTTTCAGATAAAAACTTAATAATTTATACCTACATAAATTTATACACCAGAAGAAATTTCTTTAATCCAAAATCGCGTTTTGAACCAGGCCTATATTATTAGCTGAATTTCAAAATAATCGGAGTAGGCCACAATAATGCAAAAAGAACAACAACTGTTTTTCCACTCATTATAATTCAACGTAGGTCTAACCTATAAAAAAAAAACAGCTTATAAAATAACACGATTAAATAAACATTCGTTAAAATTGTTTTTACAATTTAATACATTGTTGTGTGCTTCTTTATTTTGTTTCAAAATGTGTTTATACCATGGTGAGGCCAGTAGCCTCACTGCAAAAGATACTGTCCGAATGCAAACCCCCTCCCCCCCCCCATAGGCCTATTCAATGGAACATTCCGCTAAGTCCCGCCCCTTGGATATTATTGCTAAGGTCCCACTAAACGACACGTCCGTAAAAAAAATAAAAAGTCGTGAGTTTGTAAAAGAGGAGAGGCACATTTTCCTAACCCTCCTCTGATTGGTCAATTGTTAAGTTTGATTGACACACAATCCATTGAATTGCATAGTTAAAGGAATCAAGTCAGTTGTAAAACTTTCAATAAAGACATAGGCCTCGACAAAATTCATTTATTTGATTTCCAGATTTTTTTACAAAAAAAATTAAATTGAAATGTCTTTGCTTGCTTATATGAATCATTTAAATATATTATACAAGTCTATAAGTTTTAATGTAGTGTCCCAGTTTGCTGTTCTCATTAAACAAAAAATAAATTTTAAAAAAATTTAAAAAAAAAAACATTATAGACTTCATTGAAAAATTTTAATGCAGGGAGCCTACTAATGAAATTAATAATACACTGTTATATATGATGCATTAATATTATTTTATTGCTGACAGGAAAAGTCATACTCAAATTCAAATTTATTCTTCAAAGAACACAGGTAGATGCTTTTAGGCATTCAATTAGTTCACAATAAATGATAAATACATTAAATCCACTGCATTGTTGAATTTAGATATGAATATTGGATATATGGCTACTTTACAACCATGATGTTCGACTGTTTAATTGCATTTTGTGATCCGTAGCAGTAGGCCTACTCTACATAAAGACATGTATTTGCACTTTACACTGACAATAAGTCAAGACAAATTGTTCGACCTTAAGACTAAGCTTTCTCAATTCACAGGCCTAAATCTAGGTGTTGCACCCCCCTCTCCCGACAGGAAAATCTTCCCTATCAAATTTTCTTTATTATATTTAATATTAAACTGTGCTAAGATTCATCGCGTCTTAGGTTAGCCCAGCTAACAATATTACGTTATAAAAACGTTATAATAACGTTAGAGTTTGGTGATAAAAACGTTATTTTGTAGACCCATATTCGTAGGCCTACTTATAACCTAATTTCAAAACGTCACAACGTTTGAACGTTCTCACGTTGAAGGTTGTGTGAACGTTATTTTGTGACATACCTAACTACAACGTTCGCGAACGTTATAAGAACGTTTTGCGTTTGCTTTGGTGCAAATTTTTTTCACATACAGAATAGGCCTACGTTTTAAAGTATGGAGCCTACTTATGAAATTAATTGCACTGTTATATGATGCATTAATACTATTACTGACAAGGAAAAGTGATATTCAAATTCAAATTTATTCTTACTTCAAAGAAAACAGGTACATGCCTTTGGGCATTCAATTATTAGTTCACAATAAATGATAATTAATATAAAAACATTAAATCCATTGCATTCTTGTATTTAGATAATTATGAATATTGGACAAACCTTCTTTACAATCATTCGGGCATGATTTTCGACTGTTTAATTGCTTTTTGTGAGCATTAGCAGTATAGGCCTGTCAGAAAAAATTTGGTCCGGGTGCCAAAATGGGTCCCTCGGACTGATTTTGGCTTCACATAACTACCTGCCAAAAGTAATCCACATAAGTCAAAATCGGTCCATCGAAATACAGTTAAGTTTCGCTTTGTATTGTTAAAGCTTTAAGAGTTGTATGCTTTATTTACATTCAAAGTTAATTTGTTGTGCTTATTTTTAATATGTATTTTTTTTTAGTATAAGCTTGTTTTCTTTTTTTTATGTAAGCTGTTATTATTATCTGACCGCTCTAAAGGTGAAATGTCAATAAATAAATGAATAATAAAATGCTCAGTACACTTGGAAATATTAGGTCCGCAATAAATTTTGGCGGAAAGAACGATTCCTAAGCTTTTGCGGTCGTGCATACATAATTTATATCTAGCCAATCAGAGTAGATGCTATAGTGGGAAAACAAAGAGATGCAAAGAGATACATTGATACTGTAATCTGATTGACTTTATTTACAATAAAACTACATAACAATTCAGTTTGGAACAAGTTACAAAGATACTACACAATCTACAGTAATATACACAATCGGCGACTCGGAGGATGGAAAAGTAGCATGTGACCATAATGTACTATAATTGATTGTAAACACTGTACTCTCGGCAAACTGCATGACGTTTTTGGAGTCTTTCTGCTGTAAAGTACGGTACAAAGTTGATGATGAATAAGAGTAACGGAGTAAAATTGATGGGAAATGGAACTCAAAATTGCCATATAGGTTTGCTGATGCTCCAAAAAATACTGGTCCCAAATTTTGAGATTTTTTCTAGAAATTTAGGCCTAAGCATCTGCATAACCTTAGTTAAGTCTGTTTTTGAATATTGAAGTACTGTATTATATTGATCTGCTTCTGCCTCTCAGTTAGATAGCATTGACAGAATTCACTCAAAACTTTGTTGGTATTTTATTTTTATTTATTTTATTCAATTTCCAGGTATTAATAGTAAAACAACAAAAACATTACAATGAGAATGCAATACCCTGAGGTATCAGAGCGGCCTCTCCATATTGCATCCTTTACGTATAGGCCTACTATAACATTAAAACTACCTCAAGGTTAGATATAATAAAATAAAATGATAAAATGTTCTCATAAAATACAGTTAGAAACAAATCATAACACCGTCAACAAAATATGGGCCTATACAATAATAAATAATTAATAATAATAATAATAATAATAATAATAATAAAGCGCCGGTATCCGTCCGTCACAGACGCTCATGACGCATTGACATGACTAACCTATAGGCCAAGATAAATAAACAAAATAAATAAAATAAAAACTTAAATAAGAAACGCGAAAGCCAGTAACAATTGTGACAATTGGCACAGAAAAACCGGAGGAACCAAGTGTATGGCTGATTCATCGAAAATCTCAGTAACAGTCTGGGCTACAGAAAGAGCACTGGTATTTCTGA